TAATTTCACTCCTGTGGTTAATTAGTAATGCAAGCTTATCTGTCTCAGATTTAGATGAAATGCATGAATCTAAGTAAAATTGGGGAATAGCAACAGCCCATTTAATCCCTCCTTAATGGCTTCATGATCAATCAGATGCAGGTAAGTATTCTTTCAAAGCTTAAAACAGATTGATATGTAAATTGTGAGTGTGTTTGTAAAGCTGCATAAATGGAATATTTTTTATGAAAATTCTTAAACCGAAGGTCACACACTTTGTGCAAACACATTTTTCCTTCGGTCAGTCTTCACTTTTAAGGGTTGGCTTTCCACTCCTTTAAGAATTTTATACTGCCCAAGAGAGTGGTTATTTTTCCTATTTTTGGAGATGACTATATAGATGCTACACAGCTTGGATTATGCCTAAATTCTTTTTTTTTTTTTTAATATTTATTTCTTAGTTTTCGGCGGACACAACATCTTTGTTTGTATGTGGTGCTGAGGATTGAACCCGGGGTTGCACGCATGCCAGGCAAGCGTGCTACCGCTTGAGCCACATCCCCAGCCCGGATTATGCCTAAATTCTATGGGTTTTTAGATAACCTTTTGTTGTATTATTGTCTGATATTGGGAAATATTTGTATCATTTAAGATTAAGTCTTGATTATATCTATAATAAAAAACTGAATGTACTGTAGATTATTTGATAATCAAGGTTGTAGGTAAGTTTTCACCAGCATTAGCTTTATTAGTAAGCTGAAAATGGGGAGGGGGTAACTATTAAATAAAACACACATTAGTGAACAGTATGGCTCTTAGGAGAAAGGCTATATTTTGTTCCTGCTTCTGTAAAAATGCTATTTATTTGAAGGGGAAACAATGGTAGTATGACACACTATACTAGTGGCAGTGTGTCCCTTAATGTGGCAAAGTGACAAAATGAACTGAAGAAGGAAGGAAAATTTTGCAGTTACACTCCACACCCCTGAATGTACTGAGTGAGGTCGCGGTTTTGACAATGGTTTCTCCATGCCACCCATGCTCTAATGCCTTGTGGGTCACGGACAACCCTCTTTGCACGAGTCACGGCTTGAGAGATGTCATCTTGCAACAGAGCATTGCAGGATATACCACAGGCATTAACTGCTCTTGGGGTTTTGCCATCATTACTCTAGTAGTGGCTATTGATCTGGAATATCCCATAGTCAGTACTTCTGCCTCCAGGGTTGTAGTTTGTAGCTCTGGTGTTGTAACTACTCTCCCATTTGGCCAGACACACCCAGTTTGCCAGGCTGATTCCTCGGTAGCCATCCATTCCAAGTCTTTTTAGAGTTCTGGCCAACTCACACCTTTCTAGACTTTGCCCTGGACTATGACAGAAAGGAGAAGAAGCCCCAGAATCAGAAAAGCCTTCATGTTGATGGGGAAGTCAGACCACTCCATTTTCTACCTACTTTTAACACTCAACATCGTGAACTGAAATTTGTGATGGTTTGACTAGAGTAGGATAGCCTTATCTTGGCACCATGATAAAGACCAGTGAATAGTTCAAGACAATTGAATTGACAGTCTTTTTAATTTCTGATTTTCTTCAGGGCATTTAAGAAGAAAAGTTTCTTTGAAAATAAGTATTTCACCAGGAGCAGTGGTGCATACCTGTAATGCCAGTGGCCCAGGAGGCTGAGACAGGAGAATTAGAAGTTCAAGCCAGCCTCAGCAACTTAGTGACACCATAAAGAATTCAGTGAGGGGCTGGGGTTGTGGCTTAGCGGTAGAGCGCTCACCTGGTGAATGTGGGGCCCTGGGTTCAATCCCCAGCACCACATAAAAATAAATAAATAAAATGAAGATATTAAAAAAAAGAATTCAGGGAGACCCTGCCTCTAAATAAAATACAGAAAAAAAGGGAAGGAGGACTGGGGATGTGGCTCAGTGGTTAGTATTTTAATCCCTGGTACCCCCCCCCAAAGGTATTTCTTGCTAAAATGAAACAATGTACTGGAGAATCTAAAATAAGCAATTTTGAACTCAGCTGGAGGTTCTCAAGGCCAACCTCAGCAATTTAGCAAGACCCTGTTTCAAAATATAATATAAAATAAAAAGAGCTGGGGATGTAGAGCAGCTCTGAGTCCAATCCCCAGCACCCTAAAAAACAAACAAACAAACAAATAAGCACATAAATAAAGTGTGTATAGGTTTGTGTTGAGAGCCACAGCCCAGTCAGAATGATGCCTGGCATTTGCCAGAGGGAATGGTTGTAAGGTGTCGCCAGCGAACCATTGAGATGATGATTTGAGTTAAGCTATATATAATTGCTGTGATGCTGGATTGATTGTATTGTATATTTGACCTTTACTGTCGGGCAATAGGGCGGCTCTTGCCCCATGAGTTCGGGGGGGGGGTGGTTGGAGAGATTGGACGGAGTCCGGTGGAGGGAGTGTGTTCCCGTGTGGTGTGGGCAGTGCTGGTGAGAGTTGGGGAATAAAAAATTGCTGTTTGAACCTACAAGGCTTTGTGGCGGCTCGGTTATTTGTGCCCAGCCAGACTGCGGCAGGTTTGAGAAGGTGTAGACCTTTGGAAAGATGGACGGAGAGTGGAATGGAAAGGGAGAGAAACAGAGAACATGAAAATGGCACACCTGCTGGAGTGAGCTCCTTCAGAGGAAAAAGAGGTAGCATCATTTAAACTTAATGAGGACTGGCTACAGGAGAGGTCCTAAATGGGCAGGTCACCAGTTTGAAGTCAGTGATTTATATCAGCAGTTCCAGGGAATGAATTTTTACTTTCATTAAGAGGCAAAAGGTGCTGGGCTTGGTGGCGCAGCATGTAATTCCAGCAACTCAGGAGGCTGAGACAGGAGGATTACAAATTTGAGCCCAAGACTGGGTGTTTAGTTCAGTAGTAGAGAACTCCTGGGTTTAACCTCCAGTAAAACATAGCACACAAAGAGGCTAAAGGGAAGCGAGGGAAATTGCCCAATCTTGTCACCTTAAAGTTTACATTGAGACTATCTTCTGTTTGAAAATTATATGTTTAGAAAACAAGGCCAAAGGTTTTTATTTTGCAGTATAGAATGAAACATAAAACTGCAAATTAAAAATTGTTAAAAATTAGTTGTAGCTCTTTTGGACTGAACTTTTATGAGATCAAATGTTTTCCTTTACAATATAATAACTACACAAATTTATATTAACTCTTTGTAGATTTAAATGGTCTTTAATTGGCAAAATCTAGCAATCTATAAAAAATTAATATAATCAATCAATCATTCAATGAATTAAGGTTTTGGGATGGATTATTTGATGAAATAGGAGACAATGTACTTCAAGGATTGAATGATTCTAAGTAGCAACAGAAGAGCACCTTAATTTTTTATGTTTTCTATACCTTCGTTAGATATTCTAATTCAATTATTGTAAATATTCTTATGAATGTTTCAACATTTCTAAGAACTCAACCTTTAATACCAGGTAACATTTTTTAGCATCATAGTCTAGAAAGGGTGTAAGCTAGCAGCCAATTATGTGACCAGAAATCTGTAGCTGATGCAAGAGTTTACAGTTTTTACACTACAGAGGTTTACAGTGAGTGATCTGCTAGGTGTAATTCAACCCAAATCCAGTGTGTTTCTTTCCAGATTCTGCACATTCAGTAAGATGTACCAAGGCTATATCTTAAGAAGTAGGATTTATTTTCCCCCTGTGCTGGGGATTGAAACCAGGGCCTCCTACATGCTAGGCAAGTACTCTCCCATTGAGCTTTATCTCCAAGCAGCAGGAATTTTAATTGTCTTATAAAAGCCAAAAAAGAAATACCTACTCAAGTGCAACTTTGCACTTGTAATTCCAGCAATTTGGAAGCCTGAGGCAGGAGGACTGCAGATTCAAAGGCAACCTAGAGCAATTTAGCAAGGCCTTCTCTCAAAATAAGAAGGCCTGGGGATGTTGACTTAGTGTTAGAGCACCCCGGGGCTCCATTCCCACTACTACAAAAGCAAAACATGATCCCATTGCTCTTCTCCACTGCACATTCAACTCACAGTTCTAGACCTTTAGGATTTACTCAGAGGATTTCTGTGTTTGATTCCATAGCACAACAGCACATTTCTATGCCTACTATTACTGAGGACCTGGAACTAACTCTTTCCTCTCAAAAAAGAGGGCAGGGTGATGCCTCTTCTGTATCTCGGGTTGATCTCAGCCCCCTTCACTTGGCCCAGGTGATCTCCACTGCCGTCAGTTGCTGCACAAAGCCTCCTCTAATAAGGTCAACTAGAGAAGTCCTCCTAGACCTGTATCAGTATTAAGCCATAGCTGCTCGGAACCGCAGTTTTCCCAACTTCCACAGTCTCCCTACCCATTTTAGAGGCTTACTGTCAGGTTTAGATGAGTGAGTGTATCAGACTACTTTTTCTTTTTCTTTTTTAAATGTTTAATTGTTGATAGACTTTTATTTTATTTATATGCAGTGCTGAGAATCGAACCCAGTGCCTCACACATGCCAGGCAAGCGCGCTACTGCTGAGCCCCAGCCCCAGCTCCAAACTACTTTTTGGGGGGGAGAGGCAGTGGTGGGGGGAGGTGGAGGGGTACCAGGGATTGAACCCAGGGGTACTTAACCACTTAGCCAGCCCTTTTTATTTTTATTTTTTTTATTTTGAGACAGGGTCTCACTAAATTGCTTAGGGCCTGGCTAAATTGCCCAGGCTGGCCTCCAACCTGTGAACCTCTTGCCTCAGCCTCCCTGGGATCAGAGGGCGGGCACCACCACACCTGCCATTTTTTTCTAACCTGATTTATGTTCTTCATTTGATAGACGTTTTATTAAATTATATGTTTGAGTAAAAAAGCATGGTTTAAAAAAAATTATTGGAAATGTTCATCGTGGCACTGGAGAGGGCGGCGCTAGCGAGCACGGCCTCACACCAGTGCACAGCGACCCGAGCCACAACCAAGGACTACCAAGCGCAGGCGCGGGGTAAGGAAGTGACGCAGGCGCGGGGCCGCCCGGCTCCCGCCCGCTCCCGCCGGCTCGGCTCAGCTCACAGTCCTCGCGGCGCCCGGCGTTCCTGCTGCTCTTTGCCTGGCTTTCGAGAATTAAGCGTTAAGTACCACGTGGTGTGAGTAGAGCTCCGAGCGTCCCGCGGCTTCGGGACCGGACTCGGGCCCCAGCCCCAGAGGGTCAGCTGCCTCCCCCGTGTTTGCGGATCCTCCAGATTTTAGGAGGAAATTGGCACAAGTCGGAGTCCCGGTGCCTAGGTCCCGGTGCCGAGGTCCCGCGGAGACACAGCTAGGAGAGAATGGGAGGACGTCAGTTTGTGCGGAAAGGGCCGTGGAGCGAACTCCTTTGCTGGAAGGAGGGCTGAGTTGAAGGGTTTCACCATCTTTTCGGCCGAGTGTGAAGCGATCCGGAATGGGATTGGAGGGTGGGATGGAGTGTGCCAGATGCCCCCGGTGTCCCCATGGCCTTCAGACAGAGTCATAAACACAAGCTATTTTACATTCATGTTCAGTAAAAGAAAAAAAACTCAAGCAGTCTTCACAACCACCGTCCGTATTATTATTTTTAAAATTTTGTATACCTATTTATTTACTTTTTATGTGGTGCTGAAGATCGAACCCAGTGCCTCATCCGTGCTAGGTAAGCACTCCACCACTGACATAGCCCCAGCCCCACAGAGCCTATTATTAATGCTTATTTTTGTTTTGCCTTTGGCCTTTTTTTGTTTGTTTTTGAGATGGGGAGGTGGTCTTGGGGCCCAAGTCATCTCGCCTCAGCCTCTAGTAGCAGGAACGACAGGCAGGCATGTGACAGGCAGGCATGTGACAGGCAGGCATGCGCTACCAGGCCTGGGTCAATATGTTAATTTTGGGGTGGGGGGGCAGTACCAGGGATTGAACTCAGGGACACTGGATCACTGAGCCACATCCCCAGCCCTATTCTGTATTTTATTTAGAGACAGGGTCTCACTGAGTTTCTTAGCATCTCGCTTTTGCTGAAGCTGGCTTTGAACTCGCAGTCCTCCTGTCTCAGCCTCCTTAGCCGGTGGGGTACAGGCACGGGCCACTACAACCAGTCAATAGTTAACTCTTAATTGTATTAAGTAACTTGTTAAGAATTTGAGGCAAATCACAGATATTCTCTGCTTTTAGAATAAAGAATAGAATTAAGACATTGGCCTGTGTTGGAAATATATATTAACCTAAACCGGTGGTGATTTTAGATTTAGCCACCTGGAACTATGAGTGAATGGATGAAGAAAAGCCCCTTAGAATGGCAAGACTACGTTTACAAAGAAGTCAGAGTGATAGCCAGTGAGAAGAAGGAGTATAAAGGATGGCTTTTAACTACAGATCCAGTCTCTGCCAAGTGAGTATGCATCCTGCTTGCCTGAAATCATGACACACCCTGTATGGTATATCCAAATTACTAAAAGCAGATCAGTGAAAGGTTGGTCCTTTTTTTTTTTTTTTTTTTGCTGTGCTGGGAATTGAACCCAAGGTCTTGTACGTGTCAGGCAAGCACTATACCTACCCCTAAGCTATACCCCCAGCCCAAAGGCTAATTCTTTTCATTTAAGAACTGAACTGTCTTTGAATCCAAGTGCTATTCTAACTATGGATAGCTCTATCAAAGCAGCCCACGTTCATAGGAATGGAACATAGAAATTTCTTTTTTGGTTATCTTTCTAATGTAGAGTTTCAAACATACACAACGGTAAAAAGGGTGATATAATGAACACTAACTTTTCATCTCTTCCAAGTTTTTAAAACCAATTCCAGACATCTTATAATGCCTCATCATGTAAGAGGCATACATCTTAGAAGATAAGGATGTTCCCTTAGTTTCCTCTGATCTATGAGTTTTTCAGTCTTGTATATCATGACCTTGACAATTTTGAAAAGTACTGGTGAGATAGAATTCTCTCAACTTTGGTTTTTGTGATGTTTTCTTCATAGACTGAGGATATAGACATTTTGGGGAGCACCACAGAAGTGAAATTCTCATCACATATCATTTTTATTTTATTTATTTTCTCTTTCTTCCTTTTTCCCTTCCTTTCTTCCATCCTAGGGCATCTTACCACTGAGTTACATCCCCAGCCCTCTGCCCCCGCCCTTTTTTGAAGACAGTCTCAGTAAGTTGCCAAGACTGACCTTAAACTTGTGATCCTCCTGCCTCAGGCTTCCAATTCACTGGGATTACAGGTGTGCACCACTGTGCTTGGCATAACTTTTTAAAAGAAATTGGTATTGGGGATCAAATCCAGGGCCTCATGCATGCTGAACGTGCACTTTGCCACTGAGCTATACCCCCCAAGCCAATGAACTCTTAGGAAATACATTAATTGTATCCCACAATGATTAACCATATGTCAGGGAAAATGTTTAGGATCCTCAGTGAATGCTTGTCAGTCAATGAAAGCATTTGGTGATGAGAAGATTAATATTAAATAGGGAAGGTTGTTTCCTCCATTCTAGTGACCTATTTGGGCTGAGGATGCCTCTCATTGCATTGCTTCTTTTATAGTTTCTTTCTTTAGATTTTTCTTTTGCAAATCTGCTCTGAACTGATTTTTCTTTCAAAGTATTGTCCTTGTGAACTTCCTTGAAGATGGCAGCTTGTCTGTGACTGGAATTATGGGACATTCTGTGCAAACTGTTGAAATTGTGAATGAAGGGGACCATGGAGTAAGAGAGAAACTGATGCATTTGTTCATGTCTGGAGACTGTAAAGCTTACAGCCCTGAAGATCTGGAAGAGAGAAAGAATAGCCTAAAGAAGTGGCTTGAGAAGAATCACATCCCCATCACTGAACAGGGAGATTCACGAAGGACTCTCTGTGTGGCTGGGGTCTTGACTATAGATCCACCATATGGTCCAGAAAATTGTAGCAGCTCTAATGAGATTATTCTGTCCCGGGTTCAGGATCTTATTCAAGGACATCTTGTAGCTTCCCAGTGAGAGGTCAAGAACTGTGGATACACTAATTGAAACCGACTTCATGTTTTTGTTCTGTCATGGTATGTTTTGAATTTAAGTCCATCATATTGTGGGACTTCAAAAGTATATGAGTGTTGTGTTCATTTATGTGTATAATTTTTTGTTATTTTGGCAAAATCAAAAGAGTGAATTGTGAATGCTAATTTTGTTGGGAAATAAATGAACTAATTGGTATAAGGATAGCATTACATGCAATGAAATTAGTAGAAAGAAGTCAGAATTGTAAGGGCAATTTTTAATTTTTTTTTTGGATGGGGATATACTCCCCCCTCCATTTTTTCCAGAACTGGTGATCAAACTGGGCTATATACCCCCAGCTCAGTGTATTGCAGCCCCCACCCCACCTTTTTAAGGCAAAATATGTATTTGGAAAAATATAATATGGCAGATTCAGTATAAAAGGTGAACTCACAATTGCAAGTCCTTTTTACTAACTAAATCAATGTTTTGTTTGTTTTTGTACTGGGAATTGAACCCAGGGACACTCTATCACTCAGCTACAACTCTAGCCCTTTTTGTTTTGGGGTTTGGGTTAGGGTCTCCCTGAGTTGCCAAGGTTGACCTTGAACTTGCCATTCTCTTGCCTCAGCCTCTTAAGTGGCTGGTATTACTGGTGTGCTCAACCACGTCCAACTAAATCAGTGTGTTTTTAAAGTGTTTGTCTCTTATTGTGGTGTAATGATAGTTTTTTGAATTAGTTTTTTTAATCTGGTTTGTTTCTCCTTAAAGGTTCATGTGTTGGGAACTTGTCAGGGTGGTGGTATTGGGAGGTGATGGAGCCTTACGAGATAGGCCTTATGGAAGGTCCTTAGATCATTCCGGTCATGCCCTCGGAAGAGATTGTGGAACTCTTGTGTCTAACTCCTGTTTGGTGATGTAAGCTCTTCCACTGCCATGATGCAGCTGAGAAAAGGAAAGAGTAGGCAAGAGAGAGTACACCACCAAAACTGAGCTAGTGTCATGCCCTTGAACCTCCAAAATGGAGCTAAACTTTACTTTTCTTCATAAGTAGCTTGTTATAGATATCTCATTATAATGGTAAAAAGCTGACTAATACAGAGGACATCTTTTTTTTGCTGAAACTAGTTTTGGCTATTTAGTAAAATCTTAACATGAAAGTTTAACACTTTCAAAGCCTTTAAAGAAAGTATTGGCTGATATCTCTGAGGAGAAAGTTGACTGATAAAGTAGTCTGCTGCTGAATTCAGTCCAGTTCCTTTACTATGAATTCAGTTCGGTCTTCAGACTTATGATGCTTTCTGTCTGCAGTCCCTATTCTCTCGGTCAGGCTTTGCTAAGGGAAGGGAATGCAGGAGATTCCTTTACATACATTTGACCCTACCTATTTCTTGGAAGCCAGTCAGGGACCATGACTCCATATGAAGGTGGTAGACTAGAAAGGGGCAAGTTCAGAGTGGCCCTAAGTTTCCCACATCAGATTAGAACTGCAAGCCTCTGACTTTTTGGCAAATTGGGCCCTAGCCAAATTAGCCTGCTGCCTCCACTTGTTAAATAGAATTTTATTGGAACACAGCAGTACTTAATGGTTTATGTGTGTACAATCTATGCCTACTTTTATGCCATAATGGTAGAGTTGAATAGTTGTGCAGAAACTGCCTTATATTTACAGAAAAATGTTTCTTTACAGAAAATATTTGCCCTAGTCCCCTGTTTTTGATCCCTCTTAGGGGCTGTCAGCTCTGAGGAGTACTTAACCACTGGGCCACTTCACCAGCCCTTTATTTTTTATTTTGAGACAGGGCCTCCCTAAGTTGCTTAGGGCCTTGCTAAATTGCTGAAGCTGGTCTCAAACTTGGTATCCTCCAGCCTCAGCCTCCTGAGCCACTGGAATTACAGGTAATGCACCACCACACCAGACCTTTTTAATTTGAGACAGTCTCACCAAATTGCCTAGGCTGGCTTCCTGTTTCCAATTCTTCTGCCTCAGTCTCCTGAATAGCTGGGATTATAGTCGTATGTCATTATGCCTGGCTACAACAGTTTTTTTGTATAATATTATAACGTGTTTTTCTTTCATTAAAAATATTATTCCAGCCAGGTGTGGTGGTGCACACTTGTACTTCAAATTACTCGGGAGGCTGAGGAGGAGGATTGCCAGCCTCAGCAACTTAGTGATACCCTATCTCAAAAGAAAAAAAGATGTAGTAGTAGAGTGCTCTGGATCCAGTTCCCAGTAGCACAACAAAATTTACTTGAGTACCCATGTTTTTCACTTTTCTATATTACTTAATATTTTTAAAAGTTTACATAATTATAATCAATGTATAGTTTTCTTCTTTGTTTCTAAAGTCTTCATAATTTTAATGTTTAAGGTAGTATTCTATTGTGTCAATGAATCATAACTTATTAAAATATTTCTCTGTTAAACACAAAGATGATTTAACATAAGTCCATAGAAATGAAAATAGTGTAGATTCTTCCTGTATTGCCACCGCTCCACAGTACAAGGGATTGAACTCAGGGCCTTGTGCATGCTATGCAAGTTGTCTCCTACTGTGTTGTATCCCAATCCTAAGAGTCTTACAAAGCAGAATTAAGAGACTTAGTTGAAGCCCTTAGCTTTTTGTAATTTCAATAAACAGACATTCAGATCCTTCAGAGGCCCTTCCAGAGGCTAAAGTTTATTCAAATAAACTTTATTTCTTTTATGTTCTTTTTTATCTTTGTATTCCTGAATTCCTAGTGTGGTGACTGGCAGGCATATCGTACCTGCTTAAAGAATGTTAGTTTAATTGAAATTATAAGCATAAATGTGGAGGCATTTCTGTAATCCACTATGTATTTCAAATTAGCCATGTAGCACACATCAGTTGTAAACTGGATAGTTGGCCTTTTTCTTAGCTAATCAGGTTGCACGCTTCAATTAATCCAGTCTTGGCCATGCTAAATTATGTAGAGATTTATGAGACAGAAGTAGTGGGGACAGCTAGCATTTGGGAAAGTTGCACGGGTGAATTTCAGAGCAGAAGGGCAACATGAAAGGAGACATTTCTAATTGTTTTATAAAGGGTCTATAGGTCTATAATCAGTTCTTTATCATGTGTGATAGATCCTTGGTGCCTATCACTTAGCTTGGCCCCTGATTTGTGAAGATATCTGTCTTATAGAGAGCATAACACTTCTTTGCTATTCTTTTTTTTTTTGGTACAGGGAATTGAACTCAGGGGCACTTGACCACTGAACCACATCCTCAGCCCTATCTTGTAGTTTATTTAGAGACAGGGTCTGAGTTGCTTAGTGCTTTGCTTTTGCCACGTCTGGCTTTGAACTTGGCGATCCTCCTGCCTCAGCCTCCTGAGCTGCTGGGACTATGGGCTTGCATCCCTGCACCTGACTTCACATCTTTGCCATTCTATTTTACAAATAGACAAGTCCTAAAACAAACTGAGTTTTCTAGGTCAAACTATAGGAGAAGTGAGAACTGAGCCTAGAAATTAAGATTCTCAATTAGGCTTTACATTAGATTTAAATACTGTACAATCATACCCCTAAATGTTACATGTTATTTATGTCCTTTTTGGATTTTTCTAAAAACTATTTTAGCAGATTGCCCAGAGTTACTAGCCCGGGCTTTGTTCATTTAGCACAAAGATAAGGGTGTGTGTGTGTTTTAAACAAAATGGACCTAAGTGTGAGAACTTGAGAACTTTTGTGAGAAGTTTTGCGGGGTCAAGTATTAGCAGTATTAGCAATCACATACAAATCCTATCTTTGTATTTTTAATATAAATGATAAAAACATTTAACAGCAGAATATGTTTTTGAAGTATATCTATTTCTGTCTATCTGGCATGACTTCCCATTTTACATATAATTTCCTCAAAGTCTTAAGTATTCTGTATTCTTTATTCTTGATAATAATATAATATACTCATAAGCTCTGTAGCACACTGTATATGCTTATTAGAGTTATTTGGCTAGTTTTTACTCTCATTAGTCCAAAACATATTTCCATCTTCAGACATGTTCTATGGGCGTAATTTATATCTAATAGCTATTAGTTAGACTTTCTAAATGGCTGCTTATTTTAAGAGTTTTCTTTGCCTAGGACTATTGATATTTTGAACTGGATCATTTTTTATTGGTGGTGTCCTGTGCCTTGTAGGATATTGTGCAGCATCCCTGGCCTCTTCTGGATGCTAGTGGCATCCCCTTTTACTTATTTATTTTTTAAAATATTTTATTAGTTGTTGATGGACCTTTATTTATTTATTGTGGTGCTGAGAATCGAACCTAGTGCCTCACACATGCTAGGCAAGCACTCTACCACTGACCCACAACCCCAGACCCTCCCCTTTCACTTATGTTTTGGACATTGCCAGGTATTCTCTGAGGGGGCACAATCACTTCTAATTAAGAACCACTAGTTTAAAACATAAAAAAAACTACATTTGGCTGGGGCATAGCTCATTAGTGGAGTGCATGCTTAGCACTGCAGAAGGTCTTGGTTTTAGTTCCCAGTACCATAAAAACAAAACAACAAAAGGCCTATCAACTTCATTTTCTCCAGTAAGGGAACTTCTTTGTAGTCTTTCTATATTTGTTAAGAGTTGATCTCTATGGGCAAATCAAGTATTTTTGAAAGATTAAATGACATTGTTATACATTTGAAACCTAAGGATGGAAAGGAGGAAAAACATTCCAAGTGGAATTTCAGGATGCAAATGAGTCTTGGACTGCTATCCTGTCTTTAATGTAGAAGAAAACCAGCATTAAAAATATATTTTTATTAGTTGTTGATGGACCTTTATTTTATTTACTTATTTATACAAGGTGCTGAGAATTGAAGCCAGTGTCTCACACATGCTAGGCAAGTGCTCTACCACTGAGCCACAACCCCAGCCCTGAAAACCAGCATTTTTAATCTCTATAGTATAAATGCATTCAACATATAAGAAAAATGAACTTCAGGTCACTTTCAGTAAAACCTAGGATGGAGTTAGTAATAGCATTTTCTACCTAGGAAATAATAAACCTCATGTTCGAAGTGCTATTGTTGGAAACATTTATTGTTATATACTATGATACCATATTTATCAGTATGTATTGTAGTCTGTCAGGGTCTTCACTTTAAACATGGATCCTCATTGTTGGTATATAGAGGTCTAGGCTCAATTTCTAAGGTCACCACTCCTTGGAAGTTACTTTTCACTTAGAAACTT